TTAGCGTACCGACCAATTCCGAGCCGATCCTTAAAACTACATGCCAGTAAGTCACTTGTTTTCTACACACGCGCGCGTGTGTATATGCGTGCATACATGCGTGCGTGCGTGCGGTGTGTGTGTGTGTGTGTGTGTGTGTGCGCGCGCGCGCGCGTGTGTGTGTATTTATTGACACCATGCAAGTTATTCTATATGACATGTAATATAAATAAAATGACACAATTAATATGACACAATTTGTTTTTTTAAATCGTTTGTAGCTATTCCGTCACCACCTACTGCTCCGTTAGAGATGAGACAAATTGCGGCTAACACGATGGTAATCGAATGGGGTAGACCTGAATCAGATGGCGGTGCACCCCTAGAGGGTTATAAAATCGCTATCAGAGATGCAAAGAAAACTATGTGGATGGAAGTGGGAAGAGTTAGCGCAGACATTCAAAAACTTAACATTAGAGACTTACAAGAGAATCATGAATACCTTGTGAGAATCTTTGCACGAAACGAGATCGGATTCAGCGATCATTTGGAATCGGAAGAATCTTTTAAGATTGTACCGACCTCGGGTATGATTTGCCATTTTTTATTACATTAGCTTCAATTTTTTTATTATTTGTAGAAGATCTCATTATCTTATTTCTCATTATCTCATTATTTTATTATCACATCGCTTTAACCTCTAAAGAGAGGGATTAAAATTATCATTTTAAATGTCCGATACTAAAATACTGAATTTGTTTCATTGACAGAACTATCGTACGTGGAACCAATTGCAGAGGCTATGGATAAAGGTGAAACCGCATCAATCAGCTTTAGCACAGAAAACACAAGTTCATGGTTACGAGAACACAATATGGATGCCGATATACATTCATATGCGAGAGCGAGATTACTTAGGAAAGACGAGTACTTTTTCCGCATTTGGCATTATGCTAAAAAGTTATTTGAATAAGCATTTCTAAACTTTACATATAATTATGAATTTTTTATTATAAAATAGTCGGAGATATCTCATATTGGTTGATTTTATCCGCATTTATAATTTTATTCTTTATTCTTTTTTTTCGAACATTATACATTTAATCAATGTAACCTCTGACTCTTCAAATCAAGTAATGACAATCGTATCTATTAATCGGTCCTGTATAAAATCGAGAGTTATATATCAATAATTATATACATAAAAACTAAAATTTTCAAAAATAAAATAAAAATAAAGATAGTGTCAATGGAGTGCTAATCTGATTTTGGAGAAGTGCTTTTCTCTTTGGAAATTTTATGAGAGCCTTCGGAAAATGTTTACCCAATGTTCATTGTACAGGCAATTCTCTTTTTATTTCAATTTTGTCGCTCCGAAATACTACTACTATTACTCCTCTGTAGTTAACAAATTTAATTTTTTGCCGTTGATAAAGTTGTATTTACAACTAAATAACAACAATCAAAGTCTTATGCGTCTTTGTATTTGAAATGTTCAAAGATATAACATTCTTCATTTATTAGAGATGTATCTGTGTAAAGATGCAACTAGGAAACAACTCGTTTCCATTTATATGACAGAATTTACAATTACTTTAGTATTTATTCTCCAAATATATACAGTATATATGGTTATTATTATATCCACGCTATATTTAATTCTAATTAATATTATTATTGGTATCGATACATCAAGAAATAATAACGAAACGAGAAAATACGCGTATTTGGTGAGACGTAAAATATAGGTGCCATCATCATCAACCAACGACGCGTCGTATCTATTTCACACTTATGTAAAATTATATAATTACTTATGTAAAATTATATAATTATATTTATGTAAAATATTTCATTTATCAATTAAATTATTAAAAATATTATCATATATCGCAATGTTCCTCACCCAATAATTTTTAAAGTCATAAGTTTGCTTAGCATAATAAAGAAATTCTTTTAAGTTGAAGAAAGTGATTAACGTTAATTTGTTAACACTACATTTTAAGGATTTAAATTAATTTAAATATAGTGTTAAGACAAATATACAGGATAAAAATTTTTTAATTCTTCATAACTATTTATGCAGCTAAACATTTACATAAGATTTTACACAATATATCGTTAACTTAATTAAAATAATACCATATACAGGGCGTTCCCAAAAAAATGATCAAGCGGTCATATACAAGTAAAGCAGACTAAACTGAATCGAAAAGTCCTGTACTATTTTGCGATTTTCGCAATAGTTAACAAGTTATTAATTTATCAAAATAGTCAAATTGCAAACGCACGATGAAATAGGACCTAGGTATGCGTAGAATTGTTGATTACAAGCGGCTACGCTTTCATCTACATACATTACGTGCGCCTAGCGTAATCCACGCGACGGCGAACGCGTGTCTTACTGGATGGTTCTATCTCACCGCGCGTTTGTAATTTGACTATTCTCATAAATTAATAACTCGTTAACTATTATGAAAATCGCAAAATAGTACAGAACTCAGTTGACTCAGTTTAGTCCGCTCCATCTGCATATGACGGCTTGATCATTTTTTTTGGAACACCCTACATATAAGGATGATTCAGAACAACCGTTTGTCCTTAAAGGAGCGTATTCCTGATTTTATTCTAAGACAATTTTTCCTTTACCAAAATTTTATTCGAAACTTAGTTTTTAAATTATAAGCAGAAATAGTTTATCAATTACAAGCTGAGTATAGAAGATAGAGAGGGACGGCGCAACTCACCGTCCGACACTGGTGATTACGTGGGACACACTGGATCAGCTGCTTTGCTACGAAACACAAACATACATGCACATTCGCGCTCGCACATATGCATGCACACATACACGCACGCACACGCACATGCATGCACACACTTACTTTGTAAAAATTCGATGTCTTCGTACCTTGCAAAAAACAGACAGATAATTTCACTCGCTGTGATAGCAACTTTTTTCCATGCGACGAATCCACACCGAATAAATCAAAATTTTTCTTCTTGAATTATATCAATACTCACGCACTCGATTGATTTATAAAAAGTCAAATCTATCGGTCCATCACTATTAATCGCTACCGATTAAGAGAAAACAGTTCGCAAATTACGGACCGCATACAGAAGATAAGCGAGTATTGATACATGCAACACATGCATGCTTGCATCTTATTACACGTGCGTGCGTGCGCAGATGCACGCACACGCACATGCATCACGCACAATCACCCGCGTCGGACGCCCGCTAAGTTGCACCACCTCTGCCTATCTTCTGTACGCGGCCCGTAAGTGTCGGTCCACAATAGGTGATTTAAGCTTTAAGAAGTAAGAAATTGATCAATTATAATCAAATATGAAAAGAATAATCGACTATGATTGGTCAATTTCTTACGACTTAAAGATTAAATACTTATTGTGGACCGACACTAATTCGCCAACTGTTTTCCCTTATAATTTTAAAGACTAAACTTCTGATAAAAATTTGATAGAGGAAAAATCATCTTAGAATCGATTCAAGAATATGACATTTTAAGAACAAACGTGTTATTCTGAATCATTCTTATATATATATATATATATATATATATATATATATGTATGTATAGGGTGTCCCAAAAAATAGCATATACAGGGTGTCCCAGACTTACACCCGTTAATAGCAAATTCCTAAGATCATTTCGAGATGAAAAATCTAATACCAAAATGTCGTGGCTGTAGTTTTCAATTTATAAGGGTTTAAAGTTGACTAATCCAATTGTCTGAAATCGTGCGCTCAGGCACGGCACATTGCACAGTAGCAAAGGTGTTTTCAAACATCAATTCTATTTTGCGAATTGATGTAATTCCACGTTCATTGTTGCAATTGTTTCCTATTTTACCTTTTATGCTATTAATTAATGTGTGCTATTAATTAATTACGGGAATAATAACAGCATAATAAAAAAAATGTGTGGAAATGCAATACGCATCGAACTGTCACAGCTGTCACATGTAATATGTCATAAGTGACAACATTCGCGTGATATAAATTAATAATAACTAATAAATAATATTTTTCTATTTATTTTGTATTTATTCCTATGTATTATTTTACATATAATAAAATAAATCATATCATTAGAAAAACCGTGATCAAACATTGTAATAAATCTGTAACTTAAATAATAATAATTAATTTGATATTTCTGATAATTGACAATCCCTTTAAAGACGGTCTCGTCCTTTAAGGATGACATATATGTACGGTCATAATAATTATAGTTAATGATTTTAACGTCGGTGAGCGCATCGAATGAACGCAGTATCTTATCTTTGTTTTGTATTCATTGAAGATGACTCAAACTAGAGTCGAAACGTATGTATTATATATTTAAGTTATAATAAAGAATGTCAATTGCGCACTGTAAACAGCGCTGATTCTCATTGGCCTATTTACCACATTATATTTATTACCGAGAATCACTTCATTAATATATAAATATTTATACTATATGAATGCAAGATGTACGCAATACAAGTAATATATATGCAATATTTAATAAGACAACTTTTGGATGTCTTATAAGACACTTTTTAGACATTTTATCAGATATCGTTTGGCTATCTTAATAAGGCACTTTTTAGGCACTTTTCTTTCTAATCTCAAAATTTATACCCAATGAGCAGATGAATATCTAAAACCGACACATAAAACAACTTTAAGATATTTTTAAGAATTCTTTAAGAAACATCTTTAAGATATCTCATAAAAAACTCTAAAAGATATCTTGAGGTTATCTTATAAAGTTGATTTTAGATATTCTGTTCACTGGGTAAATATTGTTTTCTTGTAAAATATGAAATATATGCGAAAAATATAAAAAATATATACAAAGATATTTCTAATAATTATATTTAACGTTTTATATAATATTATTTTATATAATATTATTTAATATTATTATTTTATATAATATTTTATATAATATTATTTAAGAAAACAAAAAAGTACCTAGTTAACAAACGTGCCAAAAGCAAAAATTGCGAAGTTGTTATTATGCTATGCCGGCAAAAATTGAGCAGTAATCCAGCTGATGTAACAGATATTGCCAGCAAAAATGCAGCATATATCGACCAAAACTCTGCATCATAATATGCTGTAAAAATGCTGTAAAAATTGAACAAAGCTTGTTGTTATAAATACATCAAAATTCAAGCATTTTGTATTGCCACAATATTCAACAAAAAATACTCTAAAATTTAGCATAATATGCCGTCAAGACATGTTGCAAAAATGTAATAAATATCTGGCATATTTATTCTTTCACACTGTGACAGCAAAAATGCAACATGAGCTGCTTTATCAGTGTGTTAGCAGAAACGCAGCAGAAATCGAGCACAGTATGCTACTACGACATGACGACAAAATTGCAGTAGGTATATGGCGATCTGCTTTATCAACTGTGTCAGCAGAAAGCAGCAAAAATCGAGCACATTGTGCCGTCACGTCGTGGCGGCAAAATTGTAACAGAAATCAAATAAGGTCTGCTGGCATAATCTGCCAGCAAATCGACAACAAAAATCGTACAAAACTCTGGATCTGTCACTAAACAAAATAATTAGAAAACTAACGCTAGGTTGCGTCCGTTTCTCGCATGCAAAATTTATCAAAGTTTTTATATAAGCGAAATCATATACATTTAAACATGCATGTATGATTTACGTATTTTTATATATGCACTTGATGCAAGACATAATTGTCCAACAAGGTAGTTGACAAAGTACCTGGGAAATAATACATTACACAAAATGTTTGATATTATTTGATACGTTATATAAGAATCAAAAGAATCATAACTTTATATCTTTAAGAAGCTTTTTATAGCTTATTTGTGCTATAAAAAAATATATTAATTTCATCATTAATAAAATAATTAAAAATTATTCTTCTAAAATAAGATATAGAAAAAATAATAAAGTCATTTTTCAAAATTTTTTTGTAATAACAATTTAAATATTTACAAAACAGCATTTGCTCGATTTCTATTCGCGGATGGCTAGCCGCCTTATATGAAAGAGCCATGTACCAAGGTGGCAAGGTAGTGGATCGAACAATTCCGTTATTTAAAAAAATATGATTTATTCCACGCATACAATGAATGGTCGAGAAGAGCGATATGGCTGTCGCTAACTTCAGCAGTCGAAATATAGAACGGTTCGTGCACGAACATCGGAA